AACTGAAGGCCAACTTGGGAAGATGTTTCACTTCACGTCGCGTGAAGTCCAGATCAACGGTAGGGTGAGAGAGAGTGGATGACTTTCATCGTCACAGATCAATCTCTGCTAACTACTTAATACTAGGTAATCTGGGCGAGTGAAATTCGCTCACCAGGTTCCACTATATGCCAATGTGGCTTGAATGGACCCTGAGAGGTCACTCCAACGACAATATTGATCAAAACACGAGACACGACATATTTGACGACGGAAGACTACTTTACCGACTTTCTTTCCAGAGTACCATAGCACTGTTGTGTTCAAAAACAAGCAGAAAGTACAAGCACTGCGAGATGCGTTCCGCATGGCACACGTTTAGTTCAGTTTACTTGAATCAGTACAACACAATAGATGAGGTTCTTAGGTCGCAGAAGCTGCCTAAGTCTTCCAGGACGACATAGCACGACCGACAACCCTTAGACGAGAAAACTAACTGTGATGGCGGTATCTCGGTTTTGCTAAAGACCGTTTCCTCTGCAAAGCACCGTGCCACCTTCGTGAATAGTCCTCATTCACTCTCACCTATATTCTCAAGTCTCAGTGTGCATAACTCCATACTATTTCTGCGCAAAAGCAAACATCCCATAGCCCAATATTGAGTTCTAGTCACAGAAAAGCGGATTCCTTTTTCAGGTGTCCCATAAGGCGGTAAGGCCGTGTCTCTGCCATTGGCAGCTTTACTAAACATTGAAAAACATCCACGTTGCCACGCAGGTATGATAATTGTGTCTGGTTTGATCCATTCATCTTCGTCCAATCGCAGTATTCGTAGGCCAAAACAAACCCAATCGAAGATATTAGGTTCATTGAAGAGCCGGCGGGCTACCACTTGTTTACCTACTTATGGCTATTGCTCGGGAAACTCAGAGAACGCGTCTTCTATCGCGTGCCTCAAAGTCATGTCAGACCAAATCTTGCAATGATCATGACGTCGAAACATTTGTCTAGGGTAGTTCTGCCAAAGTTCCAAAGTCCGAAAATAGAACTTCGACTGCTTGTTGTGGCCTTCTTTGGCGCCCGAAAGTCCCGAGCACCGGGCAATGCTTGGGCTGTCAATCCAGGTACAGCTCGACATGACGCGGTCGTCAGCACCGTAATGCGGTTCAGCCACTCGCTAAGTGTTTAGTTTCTTGGCAATGTTCCTCCTGCAGGCCTCAACGCAATCAAGTATAACGTAACACGAGACAGCAGGAATTATCCTCGGAAAAACATCAACATGCAAGTGACTCTGCGTGAGTTTGGCTATTCTTTTCTTTCGAATGCTATGGATACAAAGGGCAAGCGCAGGTACCCAACCTGGCGTGCTTAGACTCGAGTGGCTGATTGGAAGACCACAATCTAGCCTAGTAAAATAATCGATGTAAAGCATTGTGCTCTCAACCAACTTGCGCTGTGTTCGGGGGCTTTGTAAAATGTGGGTTCTATTCTGAAAAAGAAAAAAAAGCAAAAGTCTGGAATAGTCAATGGCTGCCGGCCTCAAGATCAGTCCCGCGACGCGAGGGATGGCTTCATAAGATCAACTAAAGCATAGCCCACTGGCAGTTACGCAGGCAATAATGTGGCTTAACGTCCAAAACTTGCCAATCACGATGTGTTGACAGATGCGACTAGTACAAAAGTAGCTAAGAGAATACGAGACTCGCTGTAATACACACTGCCAGGGCGAAATGCGCCTGCCTGGCAGGCTGACTAGCATCTTAATCCTACAGCCAGCCAAACATCAATGGCAATGGATACTCGACTGCGGTCCTGAGCGATGAAAGTACTTTTGCCAAGATGGATGTCTCACAGTGAACAATCAGTTGCTGCGATCAGGGACCTCCAGATTTATTGAAATACCATCAGTTGCCTCGACATTTCGGACGACTTGTTAGTAGAAATTCACACTCCGGCAGCAACTCAGATTATATCTTTCCGAACTTCGGACATCTATACAGTGGACAAACTCTAGTAGAAGATCAGTCACTCTTGTCACGATGGTGTCTTCTCTCCTCTTGGCCGGATCTTTGTTTGGCCTCAGTCAAGCGGTCACTCTCCCCTTAGCTACAAGAAGCACAAATTCCACCAAAGCCTTTAGCTGGGTCGACACAAAACCAACGAGAGACCTGCAATACTACGACTGTGGTGATGGCTTTCAATGCGCGCGACTCGAAGTCCCACTCGACTGGTCAAACCCAACGAAGAACAGCACTGCTTCCATTGGCATCCTCAAGCTCCCGGCCACAGTTCCGAATGACGACCCGTCCTTCGCTGGCAGTATTCTCATCAACCCCGGCGGTCCAAGCGGTTCTGGCACCGGTTTTGCTTACTCCTTTGGACCCATCTTGCAAAAGGTCCTTGGTCAAGACCGCAACTATGAGATCATTGGATTTGATCCTCGTGGTGTCAACACAAGTACGCCTCGCGCCGACTGCTTCAAGGGAGACCAGTTCGCCCGCAGGCTTTCCCAGGAGCGTGACTCCATTCTACCCCCGATTGATGACGCTCTTGGCTATCATTGGGCCGACGCCAATGCTCAGAGTGCTCTTTGTGAAGAGAATGGCGTTGATAGTATCTGGGGTCACATGAACACCGCGTCCGTTGCCCGTGATATGGTGGAGATCATTGACCGCATCGACGACCTGCGCTGGAAGGAGTCGGGAAGGGCCAAACCAAAGGATGCTGAGGCAGCCCGCCTGCAGTACATTGGGATTTCATACGGGACCTACCTGGGCAATACCTTTGCGTCAATGTTTCCTGAGCGCATTGGCAGGATTTGGATTGATGCTGTCGTTGACGGCGACGACTGGGCTGCTGGTGTAAGTTTATCTCACCTCTTGAGTGTATCCCCATGTTAATCAATCTCATAGACCTTCCGAAACAATATCAACGACGTGGAGAAGATCGTTGATCAATTCTACGCTGTTTGCTTTGAATCCAAGGAAGACTGTCCCCTTTTCCAGTCATCTGACAAGTCCGGCTCAGATGTCAAAGCCCGTGTCGCCGACTTTCTCGATGAGATGGATACCAACCCCGTCTCCTTCGCCTACAACGACCGCCCGGGTGTTCTCACATCCCCAGTCATCCGCCAGGCAATCTTCTCAGCCATGTACACTCCCTTGGTCTCATTCGAGCCACTTGCTCTGGGCCTCAGCGCACTTCTGAAGGGCAACTCATCTATTCTCGCAAACTTCCTAACCCCCGAGTCCATCAAGCTTGTCTGCGACTTGGAGAACGATGAGCTTCCTCAGTACAATTGGGACTCCGATGTCTTATCTAGCGTTCTATGCACAGACATCGTGGATGACGTGGTTAATCGCAATATCTCCTTCTACGAAAACTTGCTTAAGGAGTTGAAGAACCAATCCGAGACGACTGGAACTGCTGTAACCGGAGCAGTCCCAATCTCCTGTGCCGGGCGTAAGATTCGCCCGCCGTACGCGTTCACGGGACCTTTCACAAGCCCTGCCGCCAACGCCAACGACTCCAAGGCTCCCGCTGCACCGCTCTTGATTACCTCTAGCCGTTACGATCCAATCACTCCTCTCAGAAACGCCCTGCACGTTCAGAAGGGACATCCTGGCTCGGCTGTGGTGATTCAAGAGACTTCCGGACATGGCGCGACATCTAACCCAAGCGCTTGTCTTGTCAAGATCGTTAGGGACTACTTTTACGAGGGCAAGCTGCCTGAGAGTGGTACTGTCTGTGAGTCGGCATGTAAGCCAACCATTCCGGCTGATAAGGAGAACTGCACCTCTATTCTTAACTCCAGAGACGTGGAGTATATGTTGCCTCCATTGGGAGAGTTCCACTGGTTCTAGTCGACAACTTCCGAGTGTTCTTTCCAACATTAGTAATTAGTTAAATATGATCGCAACTCTAATTTCCTTTTTGATAATCATTTTTGTATAAACATGCAGCTGAGTCTTTTGCCACCTATTGACTCTCATCACTCATGCCTCATAAGGAAAGCAAGGTTGTGCGGAAGCACTTGAGCCCAAGAAACAAGAGCATGATGCAAAGGTAACCTTGCTAAGTCAGTTTTAGGCAAATGCCATAGAGGTTGATTGAAAATGACTCTAAGCCGCTCATATCCACAACACCATCTGGGTCGTCCTCTTCCGAGTCTCAATGGCCAGCAACACACTCATGTTCATCAGCGTATTGTCCTCATTATATCAAGCGAACGGGGCCTCCAAACCTCGGGCTCTTGACTTAGTGGTTGATATGGACCACTCTACTCGGGACGTAGAATTCCCACATGTGTCTATCGAGACGGGCTTCGATTGCAAGCAATTCTTTGGCATTTTTGACAGTTTAGATACACTCAAATACCCTTTTCCACCTAAATAGATGTAGATATGTGAATGTGGACAGTTGAGCTGAGGCTGACATCGAATTCGAGGTAAGTGAGAACCCTGAACTTGAGGGTAAATTGATTTGTGATAACCTCAAAAATGGCAATTCGACAGACTGCTCTTCCTATTGAGCCGTACACATCATTAAAACATCAAAAGCCCTGCAATCTTAAATCAGTCAAACTGATAAAGCCATGATTGAATTTATGATCTACCCCATAGCGAATCGGTCTGCCAAGGTAGAAGGTACAGAGTGAGTGATTTTTATGCTTCGCGGTGTTTCTATCGAGAGTGCCCCTTCTCTTTCACGACCTACAATGAGAATTCAACAATTCGACACCTCCAGAGATGGGCTATAATGTACTTAGTCTCTCACTCATATTTGCCACAGATATTTGAGAGCCTCTGTTTGACATCTTCTTTGCTTCGTGGCGTAATAGCTTACCTGTCTTATAACCATCGATCTCTTGGGTCTGGCCAAAAGCTTTCCCACTTTGAAACTTGCTGCAGCTCCCGTTCTAGCTGCTCGAATATGTTTTTCTTGTCCATCAAGACGTATCTAAAACTCTGCTGAATGGGTAGGAGATTGGGTGTTAGCGCGACTATTCCAGGACAATTGTTTTAAGTGCCAGCCCATAGTACAACCCATCCAAATGGCGGGCCCTCCTCTGTCTCCTCCTCAAAGAGAAGCTCTCTACGTTCTATTTGGGCGATGTGATGATCCATGTCAATGATTTCACCCCTCCGGATGGACTCCCCAATTATATGGTCGAGTCGATTGCAACCTCCGCGATCAAGCTGGCGTTCCATGATTGCATCTTCATCGTCTGAGGTTCCCTCAACCACATTTCCTTGAGATGCTAGGTTTCGTAGTACAATAGACACCTCATCCTGCAGTTGTGAAATCAGTTATGGGCTGAGCATCTCACAATTCCGGATTGTGGAGAAGCGCTCCAGGCCACGCGTCACCAGCGCCTCGCAGAAACAACCATACGCGGGCGAGGGAGGCTCTAGATCAGGCTCGCGTCAGTAAAATTTACAGATGAGGTAATAACAGTGAAAGTACCTTCACTGACATCAAAAACATTTGACGTTGACAGATCTTGGTAGACAAGCTTGAAATGTGTATCGGGGTTGGTACAACTGACAATGCCTGAAGGATAACGAAGAATCATGCGGTAGTAGGTCCGGATCTCACAGTAGATGCAACTCAGCTCTTCGATTTCCCAAGGTTATAGGTACTTGTTCAGAAAGCGTAGCATGTCGGCATTCGTCGTCGTCAGTAGCAGACGAGCGGTGATACTCCCAAGGCCGTGGTAGCTACACCATGTCTCGAAATGGTAGAGCCCACGGATCATACAGATTCTCCCTGTAGCGCTGAATCCGCTACAGTCTTCCGCTTCCATGTCCTGACGACCACATTGACGCCAAAGCCATAGGAGAGCAGATGTTACTGTCGATGAGTAGAAACGAGCGATGCCGGCCAGATCATCAACAGTACATGCTGCTCTGAAACTCTCTGGATCGGACTGCAAGTTGAGATATGAATCCATGAACTCCTCCAGAAGCTTAAGTTCATCTTCACTGGTCGACTCGCGCAGAATGCCCAGCTTATGAGCCGCAAAGGCATCAACGAATATGCGATGGCTGTGGAAGGTCTTGCCGAGGTGGTGATATAGCAGTCCGCGCCTCGCTGAGAGATAACATTTATGCTAAGTGGGCGAGACGCAGATGGCTGCGTGGAGGTTATCTAGGTCCGAGAGATTGCGGAGGACCTGCAACTGGATTTCTGGAATGAGGCCATCGAGGGTCAAGCGCCTAGCGACCTGCGGTCCGCTGAGAGCGGATGTAGTGGAACACTCGGTCGGCTGTTTCGCTCTATCGGAGCCTGGGCGGTAGGGTTGTTTTTTGTCACGAGTTATAGCACGTAGCAATGGGCATACGGAGTGTGGTAAAAGTGGCTTAATATATTAAAGTAGAAATAGACAAAAGGAAAAGGTCTATATATACGATATCTGAGATAAATACGTAATTTAGTATATAATAAGTACTTTATAAAATATAATTACTATCCTTATTACGTAATATACCCCCTAATTATAATTATTAGGGAGTTATTATACTTAAAATAGAACTTCTAAATACTTTTATAAAGGCCCGATTTAGTTAAATATAAATAAATAAAAAATAAGTATAAGGAATACGTATCTTTTAAACTACGTTTATTATAAATATATCCCTTTATTTAAAATAAATAGAATCCTAACTTAGAATAGTGCGTATTTTATTATTTTTAATATATAAATTATTAAAAACGAGGCTACTTAGCTACTTTATATATATCTAAATTCTCGTAACGTTACTTAACTATTATTTTTTTTTTTTAACCCTTTTATAATTACTATATATACTCCTATTTATTATACACGCGCGCTTATATTATTAAATCGTTTATTAATTTTATTTTAAATATAAATATTTAATATATTTAAAAATAATAATAAGTTTTATATAATTTTTATAATATTTTTTATATATATATTATATAGTTTATTAAGAGTTTAAATAAATAATAATACTAACGAGCCCTTTTAGATTATTACTCTCCCTTATAACCTCTTATTTATTTACTAAGGCCCGGTTACTAAGCTCTCTCTTTTTAATTAAGAGGATATTAAAGTTACTAATTAAAATATTAAGAATTTTATTAAGTTCGAAGCTCTTTTTAATAATTATAATAAAGGTAATAATAAAATAAATAATAATAATAAGAGTTTTAATAAGCTTTTACTTATCCTCCCCTTAGAGCTCGAAAGTAAAAATAAAATTAGTTTAAATAATAAGCTCTTTAAAAAAAGTATATCGTATATTATTATTTTAAGAATTTATATTTAATATTATTTTAAAGTTTAAAAAACGTAAGGCTGGCTTTTTTTAAAAAGGTAATAAAAAATAAAAAAGAACGCTAAGAAATAAAAATACCCCCCGTAATAAGTATAGTTCTTTTTACTATTCTAGGCCTATTTAATATATACTTAGTCCCTAAAAAACTTAAAAAAGAGGCTTTTAAAAAACGGGAGGTTTAGTACTTACCTTATTTTAAAGTAGCCCTTTAGTATACTAACTTTAAAAATAGTAATTATTATTTTATAAAAAGTAGTAGTTAGTATATACGCTATTTTAATAGCCGTTTAACTAAGGAATATATTAATATACTAATCGTTTTATAGCTAATAACCTAGGCCCTTACTAAGGTTATTATAAATAGCGCTTTTTTTTTTATAAATATATTATCCTTTTTTATTATTAAAAAACGTACTCTTAACTATAGTTTTAATAAAATATTAATAAGCTTTATATTATTATTTATTATATAAAAAATAATAAAAAGATATATAAGAACTATATTAGGTTTTATATAGAGGATTTCTTTTTTATACGCCCCTTATTCCCTCCCCTAAATACGCTTATATTATTAATTATATTTATTATAATTATTTATAACTAGCCCCCTATTACGCTATTTACTCCCGTACCCTAGGTTATTAACTTAATAATTATTTTATTTCTTATACCCCCCGCTACCCTTATTATTCTTAATTTTATAAACTTCGAAATATATAAAGCGCAGTTCTTAGTACGTATACTTACCCTTTTTATTAATAATACTATAATCTTAGTAATTATATATTTTATAAACTAAGAATTTAAATAATAAGTATAAGCCTAGGTCTTATTTTTATATATATATACCCTATAAGGTAAGGTTATTTTAAGAATTTAGGTTTTTAAGCTAAGAAAAGTTTTATTTTATTTATTTAAACTTCTAAGCCGTATTCTAAGTTCCGTTTATTATTTATTTTTAAGTATTAAGTTTTTCTAAGTATAGCCTAAATTAATTATTTCTAACTATTTTAACTATTTATAATAACTTTTTACGTATTATAAAGGTTAAAAAGTATATAAAAATATTTAAACTTAGTTTATAAAAAGTTTTTAATAAGTTTATTTATTAGTATATTTTTTATTAATATATAAGTAATTTCGAAACTACTTCTAATATACTCTTATTTTAGCTATATATTTTATATATTAATATAACGAAGTTAAGTAGCTATTTTTTCCCCTTTTTTTATAATAAATCGAATCGTTTATTAATTATCGTAATTAACTAACTATACTTTTTTTAAATTAAGGGTAATATTTTTAAAAAGGCGCTTTAAAATTATAATCTTTTTTATAGTTTTTTTAAAATAAAGAAGCTTAGTTTTAATAATTAATATCGTAACCATTACTTAGCGTACTAATTTTTATTAAATTAGGCTACTAAAAAAGAATATTATATATCCTTAAAATAATTATTATATTACTTTATTATTTATAAAGCTAGTATTTTTAATTAGAAATAATAATTATATACTTAGTATATTACCGTAATAAAGTATAAAATATTTTATTATATAAAGATATTAAATATAGTAATTCATTATTTTAATATAAGTTGTGCTTAGGTTAGTTAGGAACTATAATAATTATAAATAAATAAAAGCAACGTCCGGTCTAATTATTATAGCTATATAAAATATATTTTTAACTTTTTTTTAGTAATTTTTTATTTCGTCCTTTATTACCTACTCCTCGTTTAGTTTAAACTCGTCTTAAGGAAAAGGGGTAGCTAGATTTAGTAAATTTATAAGGTCGAAGCGCTTAGTAACTCGCTCAATATATACATCGTAAATAAAATAAACCTTATAAATAATACGGTTTTATAAAATCCGTACTCCGAAAAAGTAATTAATTAGTCTATTTTTTTTAAAGTTAATATATTTTTTTATACTATTAATAATCTCTTAAGCCGCTTTTTAATTATTTTAATAATATAAAATAATAAAGTTATTAATATAGAATACTAATATTACTTTCCTATTTATGGTTTAGTAAATATAAATCTCTTTATAATTATATATTATATTTATATTATAAAGTATAGAAGTAAAAGTTTAGAATTAGAGAATTAGTAAGTCTCGGAGGCTATATAGAGCGTATTAGAGCTTACTTATTTTATTAATAACTTTATATTCCTTTAGGAGTTTAATAATTAGTAGTTTTTTATTTTTAAAAAGTATATTAAGGAATACGTTAATAGTATTATACTAGTTTATTTTAAAATTAAATTAAGTAGTTATTATTATTATAAGCTTAAAGGTTTTTATAATAAGCGTTAAAGCGTACGTATTTTATAAGAGGTTAAGTAGTTATATATCCCCCCTTATATATATACGTATTTTTATTTTATAAACCTTATTATTAATATCGTATTTATAAGTATATACTTATTTTAATAAAAGTAGGATCCCTTATTTAGGATTATAGTTAACTTCTTTTTATATACTAATATCCTTTAGCTTTTTTATTTTTATATTTATAATATCCTTAAGTAGCTTTTATAATTATTATAAGAAATATTTAATATTATTAAACTTTTTTAATAAGCTCTAGAAGTTAATTTTAATAAGTCGTAGTTTTTAAACTCTTTTAAAGCGCTCTAAGTAGGTTTTATAAACTACTTTTTTTATTACTTAATAAAATATTATATATCTTATATTACTTTTCTCTATAGCTTTTTATTAATTAAGTATAAAAATAAAAAAAAAGTAGTCTTAATAGCGGTTATAATAATTACCGTTTTTTATATTTAAATATAAGAGCGTTACGAAGATATTATTATTAAAATATTATAGAGGTTTACGGGCCCGGTTTAAATATCTAAGACCTAATAGAGCTTTACTTAGTACTTAATAAAGTAGTTTTTATAAGCTCTGTTTTTATATAGTAATAGAGGTTTATTATAAGGGTTCTTTATTAACGTCGACTTTAGTATTAAGAATTATTTTTTTATAATTAGTATTTTGTTTATTACGTATTTTAACGTTTTATTAAAAGTTATTAAGAATTAAAAGTTTAAAAACTTTTATAATATATATAAGCGCTTATAAAGAGGATTATAAACTACGCAGAGCTATTTATAACTCGGTTATTATAACCCCTTTTTTATTCTTATTTCCGAGCTTATATAAGGGGGTTATTTTAGGGGTTAGTAATAATAATAAAACTATATTAGCCTCTTTAACCTTATTAACCGTACTTTAAAATACGTTTATTAGTTACTTAGTATTTTAAATAGTTAAAAATTTAATAATAATACTATCCTTAATTATAGAATTATTTTAAATACTAGTATTTTTAAAGTCTAGATTTATTTCCCTAAGTACTTAAATTAACTTATTATTAATATTAAAAAGTTCTTATATTTTTTAAATTACTAAATTTACTTACTTACCTATAATAGCTTATTCTTTATATATAGGATTATAAAAAACTTTTTTATTAAACTTAATATTCTTTATAATAAATACTTATTTAAGCGTAGGTACTTAGACCCTATATAAGTTATGTATTTTTAATATATATTTAACTAAGTATTTTATATACTTATAGGAAAGTATTTTAAACTCTTTTTATTATATACCCCTCTTACGATCTTTATAAAAAGGGTATACTTAGTAACTATATATATAAAAACTACCGAAATACGGGGTTATTAGTTTAAAATCCCGTACTTAGTAACCCGTTTATTACTAATATTAATATTACTTTTACTAATTAATTTTTATTATAATAAGCAAATCTCCTTTATTAGCCTCCCGTAGGGTAATATTATAAATAAAAATTATTATTAATACTATTTTATTTTATAAATTTATAAAAAAATTTATAAAAAGGCGTATTTTATAAACTTTAGTAATTATAAGTTAACTTACTCTTTTTATATTATTTACGGGTTCTTTTATATATAGAGGTAAAAGTTCTATTTTAATTCTTAGCTCGCTATATTACGTTTTATATACGTATCTAACGTTTATAGTTAAAAAAGTAGTTTTATTATTATTTTTAAAAAAGTAAATTAGAATCCCTTTTTAATAACGAATTACTACTTCGAGGCTCTATAATACGAAAAGTATTTCCTTTTTTATTTTAGTTTTTAAAAAGAACCCCCTAAGTTACTTATTATATTTATTAAAAGTTATAAATATATATTATTATTTATTAAGAAATAGTTCGAAGTAAAAGAGATCTTAGTATATATAATATTATAGCTATAAAGCTCTTTTTGAGGGTAGTCTTCTTAAGACTATTATCTTAGTATTAAATAATATATATATTTTATACTTAACTTATAATAAAAGTTTAATATATATACTTCGAGTTTTATATAATAATTAACGAAGAATATTAAGTCTAAGATAACTTATTTTAAAATACTAGAGGAGTATGCTATTAAATCTCTTATAGGTATATTAATACGAATAACGGAATTTTTTATAACTAATTAGTAATATAATACTAACCGGACTTTATAAAATATACTTAAAGTTTATAAAAAAAAATAGGATTAGAAGAGCTTATATTTAAAAAAGACTAAATTATTTTTTTAAATAAGCTATTTTTTAATAATACTCTTATAAAGCGTTTTTTATTATAAAATATAATTTAGACCGTAGTACTAGAGTACGTTTTTATTTAATAAAGTTTTTAAAACTATATTAATATAAAATCCCTTAATATAAGCGACGTTCTAAAGTTTTAGATTATAAGTTCTTTTTTTTTTAAGTCTATTTAAAACGCCCTTTATAATATGAATATTACGTATAGTAATAAGTAATATAATAGTTCTTAATTTAACGTAGTTATTATTATTTAATAGTACGTAACTCTTAGGTTTAAATAAGCTCTTATTATTAACTAAATATATTACTTTATAACTATTTATTATTATACTTTAAAAAAGAGGATAAGTACTATTTATAAGAGTACTAAAAATTATATTTATTTTTAAGTCCTAACTTTTTATAAATATAATAACTATATAGCCCTCGTCCTAGTTTATTAATAAGCTTATTATAAGTTAGTTAAAAAATCTTTTTAAAAACCTAGGTTTTTTAAAAGTTCTATCGTTTTTTAACTAACTAGCTTTTTTAAGCTTATTATAAAATAATTTTTATTTACTTAATTTAATAATAGCGAGGACTTCTTTTATATAGCTCTTTAATATTTATATTAATAACTTATTAGCGTTTTAATTTATAAATACTTATTTTAATTTTTAATACGCTAAAAGGCGTTATAAATATACGTAATTATAAGAGTACGTAACGTTATTCTTATTATTTACGTTGTTAACTAAGTTAGAACGTTTAGTAAAAGTAAAATAAGCCCCTCTTTAATTTAAAGGCTGTTTAGTATATACGTCCTAGGTTACTAAGCTAAGAATATACGTAATCTCCTCGAGGGTTTTAATATATATTTTAAAAGTTATTAATTTATTAAAAGTCTTATATATACGTTAGCCTTATATAAAATTAAGTCTAAACTTAACTATAATTAAGAAATTAAGTATAACGATCTTTTTACTAATTTTTAAAATATTATACGTTTTAGCTCGGAAATAAATAAATTACTATTTTTTATATTAGTATTAAGAATTAATTCTAATCTTTGTTTTATTAAGGGCTTATTAATATTCTTTTTAAACTATATTCTTAATTACTATTTTAGAGGGCTAAAGTTCTTATTTTAATTATTTAATAATTTATTATATACTAAACTTAGAGCCGTCCTTAGTAGCTTTTTAAAATACGTATTTATAAAAAGTAGCGTTAATTAATTTTACTAACTACTAAGCGAGGAGTTTAATATATATATTAATAATATTACGTTCCTAAGCTTTAAATTATTTATATTTAGTATTAATTTCTTATTATTTTTAAATACTCTCGAGTATATAAATCTTTTTTATAAGTATAATATAAAAATAGATTTATTTACGTAAAATAAGTAATATAGTTAGTTTTATAAAAAAAAACCTAGCTTAGTCCTATAAGTTACTTATATTTAAAAAAGTTAAAGGGGTTATACTAAGAGTTATATTTAAAAACTATTAATAAAAAATTTCTTAGTCTTTTTAGTTATTTTTAAACGCTTTATAATGTACTTAATAAGCTCGTAGTTTTTCTTTATTACGGGTTATAATTAATCGTCCGAATTTAAAAAGTAAAATAAGCGTTATAAAAAAGTTAAAGAATACGTTAGAATTTAGAGTATTTAGGTTAACGTATTTTTAAACCCTAACGCCCTTATTTATAATACGAAGTATATTAAACTATTTAATTTAATTATTATAACTAGTTAATTTAGCTTAAGCTAAAGTAAGTATAAATACGTTAGTTATATTAAAAAAATTATAAAAATTATATTAATAAGTACGTTATCGTAGTATAAGGTCTTAATTAAGAACTAAGCTTATAATTATTATAAGTTATAATACGTAATAATAAGTATATAGAGTATAATAAAAGTAGCTTAATATATTAAAATAGAAATAGATAAAAAGAAAAGGTCTATATATACGATATTTAAGATAGATACGTGATTTAGCACGTAATGGGTACTTCGTGAGATGCGGTTATTATCCCTGTTACGTGACATTTTTCTACTTCCTCCTGTTTCTTAATAGACTGATCTTCATTGCACCCCATCGGAGCTGTACCACCCGCTATGAGTATCTCATCTCGACAGCTTGGCTGTGGTGAAGGTGACAAGGATTGAGTATTCGACCCCATTTTGTGGCATGCCTCAATGGATGAATAGGAAAAAAGATCGGTGCTCGGTGGCAGGTGCGGTAAGGTTATTAATTGGAGGAACCAGTGGACAGGACCCTGGCGTCAACCGATGATACCCTCCAACTCAAGCTTGTGTCCCGGTAAGTCTGGTGCTGTCGTCGACAGCGAAAAAAATTCTTTTACCTCTATCACTTCACACATTTTGTATCGTGTGTGAGCTGACGATGACGAAAAAGAAGCAACCAATCACCATGTCTGATCTGACGCCATCAAAGCGAATAACGGAGAGACTTGACAATGTTCTCAACTCAGCGTGAATGGTTGGTGTAATTGGCCGCTACCCCAACTTGACTGGCGATGTACTACTGAGGATATCTCAGATGGGGTAGTATCTCGGAATCGCAACCTTCACCCGAGTCTGCAGTCATGCTAGTATTTCGAATTTATACTTTGATCCGGGCAAAGACGGGATATAATACGAAAGATCAAGCACGGCAAAAATGACGCACGTGAGCTAGCATTGTGGGCTTGCCTGCGGGATGTCTATTGCATGGGCTTACCTGCTGCCTTTTCATCTTGAGCAATTGGTACTGGACGGGGATTAAGACTGCGCCCCACGCAGACCTCAACCCGGTGGTCTGGATGATACAGAAGTGAGACGCCAATGTCATCTCCCCAGAATGTCAAAGCAGTCATGTTCCATCGACGCAGCTCGAATTCCAGTGGGAAACCCCCCAATACAGTCTTCTCGCACTTCATGGTCGTAAGGAGGCGGCGCAGAATCACGACAACGAATCATGTCCACCTCCGTGCAACATAACCGGCATAGCAGGCCTCAACTTGTACAGGGCCGAGAACCACTTTAACAGCTGGGATGAACCAGATTTGGGTCAACCTCTTCCATATTTGGCAGTCCGTGTTGCATTTCTCGTTTCCCCACCTCAGGTTGCTGTATGGGTCGCATACTCAGTTGAGGCGTATCCAGAACTTCGGGCTACCTTGGCGCGCGCTTACGTCCGCCCTCGCGCTGGGAGATGATGCATGCAACAGCATTGATATGCTTCATTATGCCCAGCTGGCAAAATCGCCGTCGAACACTGCTTCGTTCTTCCCACTTTGCGTTGATTGTTGTACTCCAATTGCGGCGCTTAGGCCGAGAAGTATGTTCACTGATTTTCACTCCAAAGAGTCACGTTGAGGAAAAGTTGGGTCCGGTTGATTCAAACGAATTGTGTCACGACGTATCTTCGTTCACGAGCATTGCGACTACATCTAGAACAGATACAGAAGTCTTTTCTTATGACCTATATATATCTGATACGCCTGGTCACTTTGTCAAAGACTGACCTGTCCCTGTCGACTGGTGCACTGCCCTAGCCGACCCTCTCCTTCAATGTCACAACACGCACCCGATAGTCTGGCTGCTACAGAGATGGTACAGCATGGCATGCGTCGAACCAAGGAGGTATGTCCAATTTGCCAAATCTATGTCTTGCAGACTTGATTCTAGCTCCAATGACAGTCAGGTAAATGGGAGCATTTGGCACTTGTGTTGGGTCCAACGACCCTAGTAAGTAATTATGCAAGAGAGTGGCACCCGAGGATCTTCATCAAGTGGCCCCATTTCCATGTCAATTCTGCTACCAACAGCGTTGGATGCGCCGTAAAGGCTCCTGTACCAATATCCAAGGACCAGTTAGAACCTCTTTTCAGGAACACTCTTGATGCTTAGTCCCCGTGTAAACGCTGGGCTGGTTTCGACACATCGCCGGGCTACACTCTCAACGCTTCTCCTAGCCGCGCGGTTCGCCTGGCCATCAAATAATACTTGTCTGTTAAAGAGAGCCAATCTACCGACAATACAAAACCTGATTTTCTCATAAGAACTCCCCGAAGCCCCTCGAGGTCATGTAGCTTCCTCTGCCGATGAATATGTTGACACATATCTCCCACTCGAGGCAAAGCTGTAAGGAGCTTTGTACAATTGTTGCCCTACTTATCGTCTATCTCAACATCAAGCGCTCACTTTCCAAGTTCTCTTCCTTGTCCTTATCCGCCATCATGATCGGTCTTTTGCGGCCACTAGACTTGCGGAAAGAGGGTGTGGCTTCACACGACAATACACCGGCGCCGGTATCGCCGGTATCGCCAGTATCGTCAGTATCGAGGCCTCCAGCTAGCCCTGCCGCCAATCTTCACGCCATTGTGCTCGCTTTTCGAGCCATTACAGTGCTCAAAACAGCAAGCACCTCAGCGACTACTCGAATCAGAAAGACAACCTCTATTGATGCGGACAAACACCCCGCGTTACCCCTCCCAAATGTACATCCAGGTACGTTAGGTCCAGATTGACTTCTCACAAATGCACAACATGAATGCTGATACGTAATCGAAATAAAGTGTATCAAACCGTTCCTCTTCGCCCCAATGAGTTCCGCATTCTCCATGTGGAGCCATCCGCTTCATTCTCGTCGCAAGTTGTGGCCAGGCTCTCCGTGGTTGACTACGATCCCGAATCCAAGAGAGTCTCGGCCTCTTACGACGCTCTCTCCTACAGATGGGGCGACCCCAACGACACCGTTACAATTATCGTTAACAACGCAGAGTTGAAGGTGACAAGGAATTTGTCTATTGCCCTTCAGAATCTTCGTCACAGGGACCGAGAGCTTGTCATCTGGACTGACGCTATCTGCATCAATCAGATGGACATAGAAGAGCGACAGGTCCAAGTGACTCTAATGGGGGCCATCTACTCAAAGGCAGCCTGTGTACAGATATGGCTTGGCGAGGCTGGTCACGATACCGAAGAGGGTATGAATCTCGCCAACAGCTGTGGCGGCACACGTGCAGACACCGCAGAAGTTGTGAAAAAGATATGCGCCGATGGTCGTGGGTCGACTGGATTGGCAGAGCTCCTCGAGCGGCCATACTGGAGCAGAATTTGGATGTTCCAAGAAATCCTCCTGTCAGGAAAGGCGCAGGTTCAGTGTGGGCAATTCAGCACATCCTTCGGTAACCTCAAGTACCTAGACTTGGTAACCTCCAAGTCATCCCTGTGGAGAGACCGAAAGAACCCTCCACCCTGGACTATCCGACTTCGCAAAGCGTTCTTCAACACAGCACAATTTACCATCAGTCCAAAGGCTCTCAACAACCTAGAGCGTATTCTTGTTCTCACAAGACCATTACAAGCGACCGAGGCGCGTGATAAGCTCTTCGCCCTCATGGGTACGTGCGATATGGCCCCGTATCTGTCCGTCGACTACAGCAAGTCGCTCCGCGATATCTATGTCGAGTTCGCCAGGCATTACGCTCAAAAGACAGGAAGTTTAGCCTTGTTTCTCCTAGCCGGATCTCAAAATCCAGAGGATCAAACCGATATTGGTCTTCCTTCATGGACTCCGGACTTTCGCTCTTCGACGGGGGTCGATATCTACACTGGCTACGGTATCGAAAATGCAGGTACCTTCAATGCCACCAAAGGGAAACGCTTCATGGGAGCGTACTCAAAAGAACACTCAACGGGGGATGCCGACGGGGTCTTCGTAGCCGAAGGATATCTTTTCGACACGATTCGAACCACAGTCCCAGTCTTGAAAGATGCGCGGACTCCAAAGGAATTGTTATCGGTGCTGCGATTTGGACAGCTTGAAAGTCGGCCCATGGTTTCAGGCAAGCCTCAGATCGAAGCACTGTTCGAGGGTCTCATTTTCGACACCAATGGGCACACTGAAGAGGACTCTGAAGCTCGCGCCACCACAAAGCAACATCATCGATTGAATTACATGCTTGGGTTCATGCGAGACTTGGAGACATACATGGGCAACGAGCTTCCCAGGAAGAAAGACGGCAATGTTGACTTCAACGCCCTCTTCGGCTCTAAAGGAGGCAGCGATCTCCCCTACGTCACCTTCTACGAGTCAATCAAAAGGACTGATCCCTCCCAGCTCGATGTTCATTACAAAGCATTCATGAAGGAGTTTTTGTTGAAAGCAGGACGGGCGTCGAGCATGTTCGTCTCCAACGACAACAAGCTCGGTCGGTGCAGCGTCGTTGCACGATCTGGTGATGTCATTGCCTTACTTTTCGGATGTCCTTTTCCTGTGATTTTGAGGCGGAAAGAGTTGGGATTCGAGCTTGTCGGTGCTTGTTACATCAGCGGCATGATGTACGGGGAGTTAATGACCAGCGAGAGTCATGACTTGGCTGTTCAGGAGATCCCATTGATCTAAGGAAGATATCAGCAGACGAAGCTGAGCATGTATCATTATCGAGGTATTTTATCCTTCGGCAGCTCATCACCCAATTGGAGTCTCGATTTCTCGCGAGATTTACTTTACCCAAATGTCACTCTTCGTGCTTCCTTCCTACAAGCTCGCTCTATCGCTTCGTAAATCTTCATTTCAGAAGCTGTCAGTCGCATAAAAAACCATCCTGTAATTTCACCTCGACGACTCAGTCGTCGCTGTTACGCCGGTCAATAAGTCACAATCGAAAAATTGTCTAATCCTGGCGCAAAATAAGCCCAGGACACGTTACATTCCGACCCAGTTTCGTCTTTTCCATGGTCATCTGAGTTTCCGCATTCGACCGTCGATTGGGCAACCCTGCGGTCCGAAGAGTCCAGTGACTCTAGTCAGAAGCGCTCAGTCAGAAGCGCTCAATACAGTTTCTTGCTTAGCGTAGAGTTTTATTCGCGCGCTTGCGACAATAACGCCGGCGGCAAAAGTCCATCATCTTCCATTCCATGGAGTTGTCATGATCGTCCTTGGGGCTTCCATCTGTAATTTTATGACAGCGAAGGGCTGGTGTTGCATAAGAGACCAAGCATGTCCACATCCCCTCCTTGAGAGAATGTCCCTTGTCATATCTCCTTCCGCAGCTCATGCAACTCACGGGACCACAATACGACCTTAGTGATGCGGAATCAGAGAGCGTGTGTCCATTGACTGATAACCAAACAAAAAGCGTAAGTTGCACAGAACATACATCTTGTCACCCAGCCGTCATTTTCAGATCTTCTTGGTTAGCACTTGGACTGATAAAACAGTTCTGCTTTGGCAAACACAGCCAATGACATCCATTCGATGTGACGAGCCCATCGAAGTGGGTGTCGCTAACGATGGACGACGGACAACCGAATCAGGTCCGATTGCCTTTGAGTGAAGAGAGAAATTGAAATCGATTCAGCCACTGACTCGCACCAGTCTACCATGTGCTTCCTTTCAGTAGAGACGAGATCCGTGTGATCAAGCTGCAGCCCGCTACGTCACTACTGGCTCCGGGTATTGCCGACCTCGCCGTCCTGCAGCTCGGAATTGAGCCTTCCCAGTATGGTGCGTTGTCATATCGCTGAACCCGACTTGCACCAAGAGTTACTGCACCTCGTGCTGAAGCAGCTTCTTGATAGGCCAGACTCAGTGAACAGGAATTTATTATTCTAGGCTAAGGAGAGAGTCAATGACTGGAATAGGGATTTGGAAGGCTAGTTACAAGATGTTCCCAGCGTACCTGACTTAGGTAGCCAAAACGACAAAGCAGGCTCTATACTATTCGGTTTTGGGCCTGTTTCTAGAAATGTTGACGTTCACCTTCTCAATCTCTTCCCTCGCTCGATCCCACCGACTTCGCTTGCCCTTGAAGTAGCGGTAGATATGTGGACTGTAGATACCACCCATGAGAAGGTTGCAGAAAGATCGATCCTTGAGCCAGTAACGCCATCCCTTCCAACCCCACCCCAAATATTCGTCAACCCCAGTTCCAGCCATCTTGTCCGCCCATGCTGACCAAGAATGGCCATTGACAAGCTGCGGGTGAACATTACTTTTCTTTGCAAGGTTACACAGCCAATCATGGTGCTCGTCAACCGCCCGCTCCATCTCGTGCTGAGGTGGAAGATCCGAGTTCCCCTTCCAGATTTGCACGACAGCCATGGATGCCAGGTCATATAGAACGAATGCCCCCGTGGCAAATGCCACGCACCCCATGAATGCGAGTGAGTCCGGGTACTTGAGAGACAGAACATTCTGATACAGACGAGGCAGCGGTTTGCCCCTAGACCCCTGGGACGCAGTCCACTTCGGGGTGGTAACAGCCGTTGGATCAGCTTCGTGATCCAACAGACTAAAGTTGGGTTTGTATCCAGTGCAGTAGATGATAGCATCTACATTCAAAGTCCTTCCATCAATCAACTCAACTTCATTCGGCCCGGTTACGCAGCTGACACCTAGGACAGAGTGGACTTTGCCACTCTCAAGCGCTGGGACGATCTCGTCTGAGACGACTGGGGTGCTAGTTTTGATCGAAGGTGCTGGTGAGAGGTTCCACTCAGGACGGATATTGAATGCAGAATCCTGCAGCTTCTTAACAAATCCATTGAAAAGGCGTTCAGATAGATTAGGGAAGAACCGCTCGAGGAGCCTTTGGAAAGTGATCAAGCGAATATTAAGTGTGTGGTCAATCGGACGGCCTTTGTTGGTTCGAGGAAGCTTATGGCAGATTAGACCTGGTTTTCAATAGATTGGGGTCCATGACTTACGATGAGAGCGCCTTCTCGATGAGAAACATAGATCTCGCTTGCATGGCCCACAAGTGATGTTGCAGTGTCAGCGCCGGTGTTTCCCAAGCCGAAGACCAACATTTTCTTCCCTGCGAAGTTCTCTGGGCTAAACTGCTCATTAGCAAAGAAAGACCAGACTGAAATAGTGTGGTTGACCTTTTGTAAGATTTGGAGTGGAGCGTTTCGCCCTTGAACTGCTCAATCCCTTTGACATTCGGATAGTTCGGTGTTTGGTTCATTCCTGTCGCGATGATGACCCTGTCGAACATTTCGTTTGGCGAATCAGAAATTTCAATAATCCATTTGTTGAGAGTATCATCATGCGATACATGAGTGACAACTGTGTTGAGACGCATCATTGATCGCAGCTTGAAGTGATCGACATAGTCCTCCAGATACTGCGCCACCTCCTCGGCCGAAGGTTGACTGGTCGTCGCTTTGAGTTGTGAGAGTGCTAGCTTTTAGTCCAATTGACAGACTTACCATCAGGAAACGGGAAGTCTGTGAAACACCCCTGATGAAGTGTCAGTCGCATTAACTACTTCAAGTCCCAAGTCTCTCGTCTGCACATTTTAGAGAGAGAAATCTTACTCTTTCTTTTGAAATATTAACGACAGTTGCTGTAGTACGTAAGTCAACAATGATCCAAATGCAATGGCAGGCGGAGCATCGTGCTACTCACTAGGCAACACAGAAGTCTTGTCCTCTCGAGTAAACTTCCAAAGACCACCAACATAGGGGTTGCGCTCAAATCCGGTCACTTCGAAACCCTCTTCGGCAAGATTCTTCAGAGCCACAATACCAAAGGCACCTACTCTGTGTCAGAATAATCAACTGGTTTCATCGACAGGTTTACTACACTTACCGAGTCCGATCACTGCGACTTTGTTCCTTGAAGGGTCCATTGTGACACAATTGAAGTCATTCAAAATACACAGGATGTCTCAAGCCGGGAGTCACCAGGGAACCACGCGCCATATCTAGTTATTTTGGCTTTGGCGATTCTCGTGGTATGCAATGCGGGCACCTAAACTCTTGAAACCTTGAGGGCTGAAAGTCATGCCACTACTTCCGCTGTTCCGCTGTGGCGTCCACTAGCACCCAGCCAAGCGCACCTAGCAGCGAAACCACGACATAAATAAGCGAGGCGATACGAGAGCAGCGCCTGATTGGTGTCTCTGATCTCACTTCTTACTGTCAGCATTGATGGACTTCGGAAGGTAAGCCCTGCGTTTCTCGTAAGTCCGTCGTTTTATGAGCTTCTCCGAGATGCAAGTGCTCGCATGACAAGTTGGTCCGAGACCGGCCTCGCCCGCTCAAATTGCTCAGTCCAAAGTCCTTTCTTCTTTTTTCTTGTTTGAGGTTGGCGGACTGCATGCCGTGGGTATTTGATAATAAGTCCGAAGCAGACCGTAGTCCATGAATTGTAGAAGAACGTATGTTTCGATCTACATTTGTCACTCTTCAAGCAAGTAGGTAATTTTACAACATAGGTATAAGCAGATCAAGGTGAAAAGCTTCCTATTATCTGCTGGGGCTTATACGCCCGAATCTGGTTGAGCTTGAAAAATGCTGGTATAGGACTCATTTCATTAATTGAATACCTACATGCACTGCACATTAGCGGTGGCAGTCTTTGGACGTAATTGAATGTTGTCACTTGACCTCAGCCCTCATGCACTTAATAACTCTATTGTGCTTGGGTTAACTGCCCGTCAAGGCGAAAATCATTGAGCACCGAAATCTTAAGCCTTTCTCTACCACACCAAATTTGAAGTCATTGGAGCGCTTGGGACTACGATTCGGATCCTGTTTGAAAACATCAAGGGAATTAGGTGACAGTGAGTGTTTTTCAGGAGCCTAATTAGCCGGTCCTGATTTGACAGCCGCGTTGAATGGCTGAATTCTTGATTAATGTGCGCAAATCAGCTCAACATTCTCGCGCTTGGCAGCTTTGGGAGGTTTGAAGATCCTACCCGAATTACTTCGTCATATTCCTTAATACGGGGAAGAGACTGGGTACAACGTCTGTATAAGTAAGCTGCACTTTAAAAAGAGTGACTTTCTTGATGTGCTGCGATTCGCATCGCCGTGACCTTCCTTGTCGCTCTATCTATTACGAAATTATCTCCAGTCGAAATGTCAGCATTTTCTTGCGCCCCCGCAACGTTTGAGAACATTTCACTGTTTGGGGCGGAGATTCTGTCTCTGCAGACAAATCTTGTCACCAACTACACCATCACTGTTCCTTCTTCTGTTCGCTTCACCCAGCCGTCAGTCGAAGTGCAGAACGGGAGCTTTTGCAACATCACGGTAACCTACACCCACCCGGGTCAAGGTGATATCGTCAATTTCGAGGCGTGGCTTCCCGCTGAAGGATGGAATGGTCGCCTTCAGGCTGTCGGAGGCGGCGGTTGGGTTGCAGGCCGCAGTGAACCGTTTTACAGCGCCATGGGTGGAGCAGTAGCTGACGGCTATGCGACGACCACGACCGACGCTGGGTTGGGAAACTCTTTGGACGCGAGTCCTTGGGCACTTCTCAGCCCCGGAAACGTCAATTTCTACAATCTGCAGAACCTTGCATCTGTGTCACTCAATGACGGAGTAAGTCGATAGACCACCTTGGCGTAACTGACTCTTCTAATCTTGAAGCATGCAGGCAATCATTGGAAA